TCAAAATTTTTTATTATTATTTTTTTCAAAAATAATTCTCAATCAAATATTAAAATATTCATATTTTTTATTTTTTTACATTATTTTTCAAGGATAAAATAATATTATATTACTTTATTACACAACATGTCTATAAAATAATAATCCCGTAAGGGATGGTCTGATGGTGTGGAGGTTAAATATGTGACCGTGAGGACATAAGTTCAAAATCTTCGACTCCTTAGGTCACCTGTCACACATGATTCACAACTAAAAATATTAGTTATTGAGAATCTATATAAGAGTATAACTATAATTATAAAAGTGAATAAAACATTTGAGTTTTGTTATAATTTTTAATAAAAATATACTCCCTCCGTCCAAGAAGTAGGTATTCATTTGTTTTTTGCACGTAATTTTAAAAATATTAGTATTATATTGGAATATAGTACGAATAAAATAGAAATGACTAAAATAACCTTATTAGTATGTGTGATATAAAGGTAATGATATTTGTGTAATATATTGTAAATTGTAAGGGTAATTGTAATGTTAGGTAGACAGTACAGTTACTAAAAAAGAAAATGAATACTTTTTTATGGAATGAACTAAAATAGAAAAATAGATACTTTATTATGGACTGACGGAGTATTATATTTTGCTATTTTTGCTGTTTTCAGTATTTTATTAAAAAATGTTATTAAGAATTATCAATAAAGAGAAATGCTGCAAATATTAAAAGAACATGTGTGTTTAATTGTATTTTATCTTTTTATTAGTGTTCGTATATTTGTATATTTAATCATTTGGGGTCCTGATATATATGAATATTGTAACTCATTTTTTTTTCCAATAATACAATGTTCTATTTCTACAAATATTTGGACATAATATCAAAATCAAATTCAGGTTTATTTTGCTTCAACTGCGCCACCGCCTTGTTTCGCCGTCAACCACCGCTCACCGGACTACAAGGCCACCACCACCGCTCCGCCTCGTTGAGACCGGTCTGCCCCCAAAATCTCATCGCCGTCAATGGTGCATCGCGACCTTACGCACTAGCAACGCAAATCGGCGTTGAACACCCATTTGCGCCGCCGCCTTCCCGCTACGTGTTAGGGCACGTCCGGCAATTTCCGGCAGCCGCCTCCTGTTTTAATTTCCGACGTCCTAATATTGTCGGTTTTGCCATCTGATTCGCATTTATTTTGTGGCTATTAGTAGATTGGCTTACTTAGTCTGATTTTCTGCACGACTCTTTTGTGCTATAGTATTTTTTATCTTCTCACTCATAGTATGACTTTTAATATGGATCGTGTGGATGCTTTCAGAATTACTGTTCTTTTTTCTTTCTGGTGATAATTATAATTTGTGGGTTGAATCTATGAAAAATTTCTTGATTGGTAAAAAATTATAACGGTATTTTACTTGTGACTTTACTGCACCGATTGCTTATGTTGTCACTTCTAGACGCCTCTCACCAATAAGAAGCTCATGGATTATCGGGAGGCCTTGGATGATTGGGATAGTAAGAATCACATTATTCTTACTTGGATTCGGAATACCTCTTCCAAATCCTTTAAGCTTCAATTTCACCGCATTGACACTGCCAATAAAGCTTGGGATTATTTGCAGTATCGATATCAGACCACTGGAGGTATGCATTATTACCAGCTTATTGGGTCGTTGAATAGGCTGACACATGACTTGAGCTAGGATATGAATGATTTCTTTTTTAATATACAGTCTCTGTGGGATCGCATTGATGAAATAGATATCCTGATTAAACACTTTCGGTTGATTCAGCTCTTGATGAAGCTTTGTCCAAAATATGAGTATGTGCGTGTTTCTTTGGTTCATCGCCATCCCTTGCTTTCCTTGGAGACAATGATGAAGCAAATTTTGTTTGAGGACACTCGTCTCAAGATGCTCAAGACGCCTACCCTTAATTCAACCTTGGCAATTTTCTCCTCTACTCCTCATCGCAAAGATGCCCGGCCACCCCAGTCTGATAAATGTCGCAGTTGCCCGATTGTTGATCATCTATATATTCACTGCCTTAAGGTTGAGTGTCGCTATAATCATTAGGAGGGCCACATCCATCAGAATTGTCCTAAGGATCAGAAGAATGGTCAATTTTCTTATTCCGACTCTTCCTTTGCCATGCTGCTGTCACTAGCGTATCACAGTCGCCACAACCACCGTTTTCATCATTAATTGATTTCGGCTCTCATTTGCCATTGTTGTTGCCACTAGCGTATCACAGTCGCCATAGCCACCTCACCTAAAAGCTTTAGCTATTAGGAAAATATATCATTAATTAATTTATCCGCAAACGGGAGTCTCCAATATTCCCTTAAGTGTAGGCAGATGTATGCGAAACTTGCACATACATATGCGAAATAGGAACGGTGAAACTCAAACTCAAAACCTAAGGCTCTGATACCATGTCGGATGCGCAAAATGACATCTTACCTAAAACCTCAAGCTTTTAGAAAAGCGCATAATTAAAATCTCGAGAGTCCCCAATATGCTCCTCAGGTGCAATTGGAGGTATGCGAAACTTGCATATGCATATGCGAAATAGGGATAGTGGGTCTCGAAAGTAAATATTTATTTTTTTAATGGAATTTAATAAATATTATATTTTAATTATAATTGTTGATAAATTTTGTATGTAAAAACTATTTTACTCCTATAATGTGTAAAGTTAATATGATAATATTAATATAAATAAATATAAATATTATGTTATTAGTAACGTTGCGCTTGAACAACAAAAAAAAAAAAATAGTAAAATATTACTTATCAAATAAACCGATGGAATTTATATTTAAAAAGTTAATATTTAAACTTTTTATCAAACTTTATGAATGTTATTAAGATGTCAATACAATAAAATCAAAATTGAGAAATAAACTCTTTTTCTATATTAATTTCTCTTTCATGTGGTAAATTAAAAAACAAAAAAAAAAAAAAATTGAGAATTTGGAGTGTGTTTATTTGTTATAGTTTCTTTTATCTTTTACTATTTAAATTTTATGATTTTATTTTAAAATATATTATTTCAATATTATAAAAATTACATTGAAATTATTATTAAAAAATTTAAAAAATTATCAACTAAATATGAGAATACTTATTCACTTATTCTTAATACATTGAAACACTCTCTTATTTAATTTATCATTTTATTCTCTCATTTTCACTCGGAACATTGAAACACTCTCTTATTTAATTTATCATTTTATAGATAAATCGATTCATCTATATCATTGTTTTTAATTTTTTGGTCAATTTATTTTCTTTATAATTTTATTATCTGATATTATTTCTATATAATTTTATTTTTTATATCAAACACACCCTTATAGTTGTTAGGTATAAAAAATATACTTACTTAATCCACTTAAAAAATACTTTATCCGTCTCATATCTATACATCCATTTGCTTTTTATACGAAGTTTTAGAAATATTAGTATTATATTGGGATAAAGTAGAAATAAAGGTAAAAAAGACTCAATTACCCCTTTTAGTATTGTATGATATAAATGTAATCATATTTGTGTAATATATTCTAAATTGGAAGGATATTTGTAATATTAAGTAGATGATACAATTACTAAAAAAAAATGAATACTTTGTTATGGAACAGACCAAAATCAAAAAATAGATAAATTGTTAAGGAACAAAGAGAGTATATATTTATTTTTTGTAAAAAATATATATTATCTATGTCATTTATTATATTTCACATAAAAAAATATTCTTCCAAATCATGTTACACAACAAACAAACCATTTTTTTTCTAAAAAAAATCATACATAGATTACTATTCAAGCTTAACAATAATACCGAGCTATACGTTTGTTTGGGGCTTTGAATTTTGAGTTGAAATTTGAATAGTTGTATGATGTGATATAAATAAGCGCGTTGATGTGATGTTTTGAATGTAATATTGATTTTTAGTATAATATAAAAAATGAAAAATAGGTATTGATTTAATATTTTTAGGGGAAAAAAATTGAATAAATAGTGTAAATCCAATCCAGTCCCCCAAAACAAACACACCCTTAGTTATTTTAGCTTATCCAGTTATAAAATAATAATTTTTTTTTAGTAACTATAATTCTTTTATTTTTTACAAATATATGTAGTTTATCATTATATTGTTACTTTAAAATATTAATTATTTGAAAAATACTATTCCCTCGGTCTCATCGGAATTGAATCATTTCATTAAGGACACGGTATTTAAGGTGAAAATATTTAATTAGTTAATAATAATTAATTATGATATTATTATATTATTTTTTATACTCATATGATGTAGTTAATTAAATTAATTTATATTTATTAAATATATTTTAATTTAATAATTTTTACCGGAATAGAAAGGTGCCAATTATTAAAACTTTTAAAATTAACGTATAAAAGTAAGTAAATAAGTAGATATATAGGACTCCTGTGATTTGAATATGAGCAAAAATCATTTTTACCTGGAAATAGCTGTGGACATGAATCGGTTATTTGTAAATATGCAGGTATTTGATAATCGAATCGAACCGAACAAATACCTGAAATTGCGAATCGTATTCGAATCGAAAATAATCGAATTTTCGGTTAACCGAAAATATTTATAGAATTTGCAAATAACTCAAACCGAATCGAAATTAAAAAAAATATATAAAATAAATTAAAATTCTAATTAAATAAAAAATATTTGCAAATATTTCAAATATCCGAACCTAAATGAATAGAAATAGAACCGTATATAATTATTAATATAAATTTTAAAATATAATATTATAAAATACATGAATGCGTTCGGTTCGGTTAATCGAACCTAAAAAAAATATGAAAAATTGAAATCAAATTAAATCGAACAAATATCAAATATGCAGTATTTGTATTCTAACCGAATTTGCTCGGATAACAGAAAATTAGGTTCGATTTAATTCGTTTCAACATTAGACGATTCGGTTTGGGTTTTTTTGCCACCCCTACCAGTAAATGTAAATGGAGATTACTAGCATTAATGGTGCTGCCTGCTTCTGTAAGTTTCTAGCTCTTTCATGGTGGTGGACCCCGAACATATTCCATTGATTTGATGTTTCTTTAGGCGATTTGATCACCATCTCCATAATCAAATCCAATCGATTGGATTAAGTAAATATCGAGTGGTTTCGCTGTCGATGGATTCTATTCTCACTGGCTACAACAGGTAAAAAGTTTTGATGTTGATGAACACACACACTCTCTCTCTCTCTCTCCTTTCTTTCCTGAGTCGACATCAATCATTCTCCGCTTTCGAATTCGAGATTCAACAGAGAATTGATGCTGAAATTCAGATACAGATACAGAGACAGTTGCAAAGCAATAGATTGTGAGTTTCCTTACGTTGTATGGTATGAACTTCCTTTTCCTCGATGAATTCACAAGTTTTTGTATACACTATAGAGTTGGATTTATGGTGTTTGAATGTGAGATGTTGCCTGTCATTGATTGCTTCCAGTGTATGAACTACGATCTTCTAAGAATTATGTGGGCATATTGACTGTGATCACCAGGTGTTCGACGAAATGTCTATGAAAAGTTTTTTTGTTTATTAAGTGCTGCAGAGCAATTGATCTTAGGAAACCCTTATAGTGTCATTTGTTATGATCAATTTCATCTTAAGTTGTTGCATTGCTCGAGTTTAGCTATCGATTGATGCCGTAGTGTTACTATCAATCTTAGTTACTGATGCATTTAGAGTCCTCAGAAGTTAGGGTGTGTTTGGTTTCAAGTTGGAAGGTGTAACTGGAAGTAGGGTTATATATAAATATTTTTTTTGATCGGAGTTAGGTTATATATTTGATTAAATATAAATTGAATACTATATGTTTTGATTTTTTAATGTTTTAACAACTATACTTCGATAAAAACATATTTAATATGATTGTATACTTCTAAAGAATAAAATTTATATAAAGAGTTTTAAACATATATAAATATATTTATTTATTTAGGAGAAAGATCGAAATATGAGAATATAAGTGGATTACTATAGAAAAAAAATTGAAGAAATACATGAGATGGAAAAAGTTGGAAGCATAGTATGATCCTATACTCCAACTGCGAAACAAATAGATCCTCCGTTATTTTTGTAGAGCTTGTTTCATCATTGTGTAAAACTTATATCTATCGGCCCGAGTTGCTGATGCAGTAAACTATTAGGGGGGGGGGGGGGTTAGTTTTTTTTGTAGATGAGCTTATTTGGTCGTTGTGTCGAACTTATGCTAATACTCTGCATGGCAGTGTATCTATCGAGCTGAGTTATTGATGCATTAAGAGTCCAAGAAGTTTAGTTTGTGTAGAAATTATTGTCATCGAGTAAAACTTATGGTGCAACTCTACGCGGTGGTGTCTCTGTGGACCTGAGTTGCTGATCCCTTGAGAATCAGTTTTGGCATTGTTAATCAAATTTCTCTCTTGCATCAAAGATCTATGCTTTTATACAAAATAATACATTTAACACTTATTTACATAAATATCGAATACCTATTTTTCAATTAATGTTTTACTATACTCAAAAACTCTGTAAAGTTTCAAAACACTTTCAAGCATATCTGAACACATTATGTGTAGAATTTGTTTTCTCATGTAAATCTTACGGCTTATGCTATCTGTATACATAGTAGTGTATCTATGGACTTGTGTTGCTGATGCATTAAGAAACCAAGAAGTATAGGCTCCGTTTTGATATGCTTTTAGAAAATTTCAAGTTTTGAAAAAATTGAAAAATAACAAAAAATTGAAGTATTTGTTATACTAAATATATTTATATATATTAAATAGTCTTGTAGATGAATAGTGTAAAATGTGATTTGTAGGTGTACGTAATCGAAGTCTTAGTTTATGCGTAGAACTTAATTCCAAAGAGGTGGCTAGGAAGTCTTTTTGGTTGTGGATGACTGAATTTCTCGGCGATGAATTGCAAATTGTAGCGACAATGCATACACGGTCAGGGCTAGCATATTTATTAACAACAACAACTAATGCTTGTACTAATGGGGTGAGATTTAAATTTGTTATGTGCTCATTAATGATAATAACAAATTGAGCTTGAGATTGAAAAATTCTAAAACTTATAAGTGTGCTCAGCTCGACAAAACTCGATAAAACTTCATAAGACGATAAGCTTATAGTTTTAACAGATTGCAGGAAATGTTTTAGCTAGAATTTCTATTGAGCTGAATTTGATTCTTGAACATGTTTACTTACTTAGATTAGTTCGAGCTCAGCTCGATAGAAGTTTGAGACTTTGAGCGAAGTTAAAATAACAATTTTAATCGGCATATACTGAGCTCAGCCTTAGATAGATACACACATGCAGGCATAGTTTGGCTCCATTACATATATACGAGCATTTATTCGAAATTTCAGGGATGGATCGATCTGATCGCCATGCCACAACACGCTAGCTCAATCACACCACATACACACAACATACATTACACTATACATCAATATATATATGTATGTATGTTTATCAATAATACAATTTTATATGACATGTGGCAGGGAGACTAGCGCCAGCGATGATTCAACCGCCATTGCCATCATCTCCACCGGTGCTTGAACTTCCACCCTTCTCGTGATGATAGTACTCCCTCGGTATGTTGTGATGGTTGTCCGTGGTGCCATCCACGTCCCCTGCCCCGACTCTCATCATCTTCTCCTCTTCGTATCTGTTGCCATCCGCCTCCACAAAGTTGACTCGACCCCCGGTAATCACAGCAGCCCAGAATAGGGTTGCTAGCAAGGTTAGCATCACTAATACCCTCACCTTCATTGTTCTTCAATCCAATAACTGCACATTTTTCACACACACACACACACAGTAGATTAGTAAAAAGGGGATGGAAAATGCATGCTTAGGATATAAATCATGAAATTGTGCTGTCACTTAGAAAAGACATTATAGATTACCTGGATCAAATAAACAGAAGAAATCTGGATAATGAGAACAGGACAAGGAATAGAATGGAATATATATGTGTATATATATAGGAAAAATTGTTACTGTTGTTTAGTTAGGTAATAATGAAATTTTATTTGAGGGATGGGGTACCTATCACCCCCCAATAAGTAGACAGATGTGAGTGGAGTGAGCAATATTTGTGTTTTTTAAATGAAGCTATTATTATGATAGGAAAGTGAAATTTGTTGTCCAAATTAGCAGCCTAAATAGGAAATTTCCACTTTGTGAGTGGAAATGTTAATCACAAAGTCAACTTGGGAGTTTATGGGATTACTGTTTTAGTCCCTTTATGATCATGCCTTAGATTTAATACTTTCTAGTGGAAGCTAAAATCACTCTTGTGAACAGTTAATTTTGGAATGTGATGAAGATATGCAAATTAAATATTAACACCATTGTGACGATTAATGGACTTTTGAAAGAGTCGATAAGCCTATTCATGTGTTGAAGAATTAGACAGAAGTCTAGAGCCCAACAAGGACATATATATATATATATATATATATAAACCAAATACATTGGCACCAAAACTTGGCCGAAAGAAGACTAAGGGTATGTTTCTTTTGATGGGTTTGAAAAAAAATTTGTTTGGATTTGATATTAAAATAATGTATGATGGAGATGTTTTGTGAGATAAAAAAGTATATATATATATATATTTTTTCGAAAAACACATAGTCCAAATACTAAAAACATGCGACTTTGATGCAAAAGAAACATACCTAAATTCACAAACCCTTTGAAGGATAATGTAGATATGTTAAAATTAGTGGAGGCAATATTTCGAAAGAGCTCTTCAGTTTGACCATTGCTAATTTGATCTAGTCAATACATATAATGAAGACAAGATAGCACGTACCTGATGGTACATGATATAATTTCATATAGCACATGACAGAGCACATGATATAATTACACATAACGTAATGTATTATTGATTTTGGCACAATAAACATATTTATACATTATAAAACTTCACAGCACATGCTTTTATATGACATAACATTGTGATACATGCCTTAATTATGTATCTTGATTGAGTCAAATCAGCACAGAACTGATTTGATCCAATCAGTATTGAAATCGCCACCTTCGAAAGGGATTTATAATGAACACTTAAATTAGAGTCGAGTAATTTAGAACTATCAAGACAGTAATATCTATCGAAAAATAAAGTACGCCTTGATTATGGTTTGAATTGGAGTTTTTTTTTTTTTTTGGTTATATATATAAATATAAATATAATATATATATAAATATAAATATAATGTTTTATAGGATAAAATAGTATATTATTGAAAATCGTAAGAATTGAAAAATTGTGATTTTAATTTGAAATACAAACCAAACAAACCAATAGTAATCCAATGTTGAGCTTTAATCTACTAACTTAGTAATTTAAGAGCAAAACTTTTCTTCTGCATATTAGTAATCATTGAGTTCACAAAGCATAGAGCTTTTCTTTAATCACTCTGAATTCTAATCATTGTTTTTGTTAAATTTTTGTGTGATTTTAATCTAATCTTGCCTTTTATTCTTTATATTTTTTTTTGTATGGTTCCATGTTATTAAATATTCTAACAAATTACTTCATTTGAATTGGAATTCGAATTCGTTCTATCTTAAACTTAAATTAGAATTCTTCAAGAAGTTTTGGGGAAATTTGGATTTGGATTTGGTTCTTTATTTGAATTTTAAGATGAGTTTAAATTTTGACGTTTCTTTTGGGTTTGGTTGGAGTTTCAGAGGTTTTGATGTATATTGATTTGATGAGTATGGATATAACAATATAAATATATAGTAATTTATATAATTTAATTATAAATTTATATTATATATATATTTTTTTAAATTTTTATTTATTTGTATTATAAAAAAAAATTATTTTTACAAAAATGACATATATATTGTATATATTTTATTAAATTATAATTATTATAATTTTTTTTATATTTATAATTTAAAAAAAATTTAAAAAATTCCTCAAACCCCTTCCAGCCCAGGTTTGGGCTGGAGAAACAGACTAAATGTATTGAATTAGTCATTTTTTTAATAGATATAATAATATTTATATATGATATTTTGTATAAATATTATATATATTTTTATAATAGTATTTACTCTTTCCTTCAAATTTATTCTCTTTGATTAAATTTATTTCATTACTAATTGGTCACATTTAATTATTATTCTTCATTCAATATTTATTTATAACAAATACTCTTAATTTTATTAAGTTCTTTCTCTTTATTTACTTTAATTTTTAACTAAAATTTTAAAAATACTCTCAGCTCTTTTTTATTTAATTTTTTGTTACCGTTCATTCAATAAAATATTCATATTTCTTAATATATGCGTCGTGTTGGACCCAAATTAACTAATTCTAATGAACAAATGGAATATTAATTAGAAAATGCATTGAAAATTTTTGTTGGAAGAACATTTCTACTATATTCAACCTATTATTTTTTGTTAAGAGAATATAAATAAGACTCTCAAAGCCGAACGAATGCAATATATAATACAATATATCATCTCAAAACTGACAAATTGAAATTGGGCTCTGATGTTGTCAAAACTAATAACACATATTCCTGACATTGATTCGTTTCACAAAAGACATCGATTAAAAAGCAGAGCAACATACGAAGCCTAAACACAGTTAGTCATTGTTGTTGGAATATTTTTATTTTAGATTTAGATTTAGTTTTAATTTAATACAGTATTTGTTTAGATTGATTTATTTTAGATTTGGTAAGTTTATATGACAATTTGATTTATCATTAAGTTATACTCATTCCGTCCCAAAAGAGTCATTTTACTGAGTGTTGGGACGGAAATTAAGAAATAATAGTATTTAATTGAAAGTGAGTATAAAGTGGAATGTAAAAGACTAAAATGCCTTTACTTTTTGAAGGATTTTAAAAAATATATTAAAGTAATAATTATGGGTAATTTGGAAAAGTAGGAATAATTTTGTTATAAAGTGAACCACAATTACTAAATAAGAAAACATGACAATTGTTTTGAGACAGAAGAAAATAAAAAAAACATGAAAATTGTTTCGAGACAGACGAAAATAAAAAAAACAAGACAATTCTTTTGGAACGGAGAGAATATTATTTTGTTTAGAGTCCGTGTTTCACCATGTTTTTATATATATATATATAATATTGACATTTATTTTGATGATCAACAGTAATGCAATTTTTAAATTTCCGTAAAATATTTCGAACAATTGTAAAAGAGATCGAAGCTTACAGTTTGCTCGAAAAACTTGTGAGGAAAAGTCGGCTTGTGCGCCGTCCTGATTCGTTGGCAAATACAATCTGCAGGGCATCCCGATTTGGCGGGAAAGAAGCTACATTTTGGCGGGCAAAGTATGTTGAGCATTTTACTTGCTGATCCGCGTTGATTCCACGTATTGGGCCCAATTATAAGGCCCATAAAACTAGTTGAATATATTCATAAAAAAATAAATTAATAACGAACACGCCCTACATATTGTATTGTTTCATAAATACAATATGATGACAAACAACTTTTTATATGATGGTTTAGCCTTTGCTATTTTTCGAATATGTGCTGGTGAACTCTTGAGTTCTGATATATTTAAGTATCTCAATTTAAATTATTTTTTTATTATTTTTGTCTGTTTTATCTCAAAATATATATTTTTCTAAAATAATTGTACCTTAATAATATAAAAATATCCTTCAATTTTAGTTTAATTACAAATATATTATTACATATACAATTATAAAAATTTTTACACACTGACCAATAATATATCATTTTTTAATCTGCTATAAAATTCCAAACAGTACCATTGAATTGGAACTTAGAGAGTATAATTAATAATTATGTTTATTTAACATATGAAAACGACCACGAGTTTGTTCGCACAAATTTTTCTTTTTTTTTTTTTTAATACGATTCTTAATATATATTTTATTATGTCACAAATAATTTCAAATCAAAACACTAAACAGACAAATATCTACCTATTTTTTTTAATTAAATATTTTATTTAAATAATAATTTTATGTAATATTTTATAAAAAATAATAATATATTTTATTAAAAATAAATTAATATGCATTCAATAATATATATATATATATATATACATATTTTATAATTGAAAAATAAACACACCCAACCCAACCCAACGGTATTAAATTAAACCAAGCAAACACAAGACATGAGAGTTAGTATAACTAAATAAATAATTAATTAATTACTTTCCATAGTGAATAACAAGCACAAGCTATAAATATAAAATTAACATTCCATTCTCATTCTGTATCAAGATCAAGAATTAAGAATGATGATGATGGGTAAGAGAAGCACGGGCAGGCGTAAAATCGCCATGGAAAAGATCGCGAACAAGGCGAGTTTGCAGGTGACCTTCAGCAAGCGCAGAATGGGGATTTTCAAGAAGGCCAGCGAACTCACCATTCTCACCGGCGCCGACGTCGCCGTTCTCGTTAATTCGCCGGCGAACAAGGTTTTCGCCTTCGGGAGTCCCTCCGTCGACTGGGTGCTCGACAAGTTTCAGATGGGGGAAACGGCGCCGGCGAAGGAGAGCGGACTGTGGTGGTGGGAGAAATCGATTGAAGGTATGGAATTGTACGAATTGGATGAATTCCTGGCCGCCATGGGAGACCTGCAAGAAAAGATTAACCGACGCCTTGAAGAGTTGAAGACGACGACGACGGAGAATTTGGCGAATGTTGTTGTTCCTACGACGTCGTATTGTGTATCCGATCTTCTTCTTGATAATCAGCAGCAATCTCCATTTCTGCCGAATCTTGAGTTCAATTCCACGACGTCGTTTGGTGTATCTGATGTTCTTCTTGATAATCAGCAGAAATCTCCATTTCTGCCAAATGATCTTGAGTTCAATTCCACGACGTCGTTTGGTGTATCTGATGTTCTTCTTGATAATCAGCAGAAATCTCCATTTCTGCCAAATGATCTTGAGTTCAGTTCGACGTCGTTTGGTGTATCTGATCTTCTTCTTGATAATCAGCAACCTGCATTTCTGCCAAATGATCTTGAATTCAATTCGGTTGTTCCTACGACGTCGTTTGGTGTATATGATCTTCTTCTTGATAATCAGCAACCTCCATTTCTGCCAAATCTTGAATTCAATTCGACGTCGTTTGGTGTATCTGATCTTCGTGCTGCGGATAATTATCAAACTCCATTGCTGCCAAATGTTGGATTCGATGGTTCTGAACGTTATGATCTAATTGGTTTCCAGGTGAGATCGACAGCTTAATTAATTCTTGATTCAATCAATACAATTATAATTTGTTAAATTTCTTACATGTAATTTTGTAGGGAGAACTGCTGAGTGCTAAGGATGATCTTCTGTTGCAGAATTCAACTATGGCTCCTCCTTCTTCAGATGCAGATTTTGATTATGGTTTTGATGATTTTGCTTCGCGGTGGTGATCGGAGTTCAAATCGAGTTATTGATTTGGGGCAATTCTGAAACCCTAATTTTGCAGCTGTCTGGGGTTTACTGCTAGAAAGAATTAATTGCATCTGCCGTTCTTCAGGTGATTTTGATTTTGTTATTATAAATACAATTGAAAAATTATTTGTGTTTATTAATTAGATCATGCAGAAATTATTGAAGTAACACCTTGAAATTTTATGTGTTTTTGACATGCATTGAACATAAATTATTTTTATTTTCTTGATGCACAAGTTTCAGATAAACTAATATATATATATATATATATAATTCTATGTTTAATTGCCTTATGATTTACTATTACTTTAATGCTTTTGATGCCTGCCTATTAATTTCGACTTGGATTGGATGTTCAATAATTCTCTATTCATTTAATTTTTATTATTATTATTATTATTATTATTATTATTATTATTATTATTATTATTATTTTCATTTTGTCCAATTTCATATGTTCATGCTACAAATTCAATAAATTTTTGGAGTGTTATATATTACTCCCTGACTTATATGTCCACTTTTACAGTAAAGACGGGAATTTAAGATGAGTATTAATAATGCATTAGTAAAAATAATTATATATTAAGATTAATATGACTAAATTATTTAATTCAAATTAAAAAAATATAAATTATGAATTTTAAAATATGATTAAAATGTATAATTATATATATATGTCAAAAAATAAAGTGACAAAATAAATGTAACGGACGAAAATAAAAATGGACATTATAGGTATATAATCATCTATTGATTCTTACACATAAAATTGCTACCTTATAAAATTTACACATGATGGTTTAATTTTTGTGTACTAGTATTATGTTTTTATTTGTTATATTTTTTTTCAAAAATAATACTCCCTCAGTCCTATATTTATCGATTCATTTGTTTTTTGAGAGAGTTTTAAAGATATTAATATTATATTGGGATGTAATAAAAATAAAATTTAAAAGACTAAATTAATTTTATTGGTATTGTATGATATAAAGATAATTATATTTATGCAATATATTGTAAATTAGAAGGGTATGTGTAATATTATGCATATAATATCATTATTAAACAAAAAAAATTGATACTTTATTATGGGACGGATTAAAATGAAAAAATAGATAAAATTGTTAAGAGACGGATGAAGTATATTAATATTTAAAAAATATCAAATATAAAAATATTTTAATTAAGAGAATTACAAAATACTAAAAAAAAATAGCCACATTATATATGGTTTCGAAAATTCGAAGACTATTTACGAATCATGTCAGAGCCAAATAATCTTGAAACTTCTAATACTAATATGTTCGCACATTCTTCTTTATCATTAATTCGGATATGGCTTTGGAAGATTCAAAACTATTTAAAATAATTTTGAATAATTCAAATCTATATAAATGGTAATAAGTTTTATTCTATGCAAATTCTGAAGTTAAAAGATTAAAAAAAACAAAAATGTCTCGAAATCAGTTTAATTTCCGAAGCAATTTGATAAATTTATGGTTGTGATGAAACAATATTTTTAAATTTTATTTATTTAGGTATACACTTTTATATAAATTAACTAAAGAAGTATGTAATTTATGGTATCTAATAATTATAGTCTATATTGTTATGATTATTTATGGTATCTATTAATTAGAGTATTACCGTTCACTGCTAGAAAAAAGGTTGATAATTGCGGAAATTTGTCGCAAATTTTTATTAAAATCGTGACTATTTTTACAGCAATTATAGTCTAATTTTCTGGTAGTGATTGTTATTAATATATATGGTATATATTAATAAATAAATAAATAAATCATTTAATTAATTCATTATTTTGATTTAGATTTCTAAATATTAATAGATGTAAATAAATAAATAAATAAATCATCTAATTAATTCATGATTCTGATTTAGATTTCTAAATATTAATAGATGTATGTGAATGGTTGGGTAATGTTTTAACATTGATTAATTGTTTGTAAAATAACTTACCATTTAATATAAGCATATTTGGATTCATTATTTAATATTTGATTGATAGACTTCAAAATAAACTACTCCCTCCGTCCCGTTCCAAGATTGTCCTTTGATTTTTACTTCATTGTAGTACAATTAAAAATATATTTATATTTGAATAATTTACTCTAAAAATATTATTGTATTGATATTATAAGTGACTAATAAACATATTCTTATATTTTCTTTTCGATTTGTACTACGTCTTGATATAATAATTAATATTCAAATATCAACATACAAAAAATCAATGACAACCTTGCAGCGAGACGGATGGAGTATATTATTTTTCTAGGTTTTATTTTGTATATTTACGCGGTTGACATGTGAAATGGATGGTGTGGATTGTTTGGGAATTGGAAGTCCCGGGAGCTTGGAATGATTTGTTCTTGGGACACCGCGTTCGGCTTCGGACATTGAAAAGTATCGTCCATAATATACGAGAATTATGTAAAATATAATTAGTAAATAATTAAAAAATATATTAGTAAAAATAATTATTATATATTAAATATAATTATAGATTAAGATTAAGATAATTATATAGTTTAATTAAAATTATAAAAATTTTAAAATTTAAAATAAGATCAAAGTGTATAATCAATTTTTCAAAAAAAAAAAAAAGACAAGTTACGTGGAACGGACAACCCGATCAAGTAACTGAAAGTATGTTTGTTGATCTACTAATAATTCTCCGTACAAAATTGAAAAAATAAAATAAAATTTTAATTGTTGAGATATTTTCGATATTTTTTAACAGTGATAAATATTTATTTAAAAAATATATTTTGTTTTAGAGTTTAAATAATATATAAAATTGATTTAAAATTTTAAATATCATTACTTATTATTTTTTAAAAAAATAGTTAATAAAAAATATTTAAACAATAAATAAGTATTATTTTTATAAATCTTTAATCAATGTTTTTTAGAAAAAAATAGAAGACAATAAAAAAAAAATAAACAGAAAAAAATAAAAATAAAAATAAACAACATCACCAAAACAACTATAAAAAAGGGTAACATCACAAACAATGTATACTATTTTATTTAATTTATATAAAATATTTTAAAATTACAAAATATAATATTTTATCAATCTCATATGTATATATATATATATATATTTTCTTATTAAAAATATAAATATTAGTATTAAATAATGATGTTTATTCTTTTTGTAATAATATATAAATGGTAAAAAAATTTTAAATTTATATAGTAAGTATAATTACTAAACATAAAATAAATAGATTAAATGTTTTGGACAGATTAAAATAACAAAACAGATAGATTCATTTGAAACATTAAATATATAATATAATTATAATTATAGTTATTTAGTTCATGGGTTAATTCGTCCTATTGCAGATTAACCCACTTTCAACCCGCAACTTAGTAAGTTGGCTCATTTAGATCCGTATTTTAACGGGCCTAAAAAGTAAAACTTCTCCTTATAAGTGGGGCGAGGCGGGCCAACCCGACATACTCAAGCTATGCTTATCTCTTTTTAAAATATCAATTAAATATTTTTATTGTTATCTAAAATATTAAAACAAAATTTTATTTTTGTACAAAACAACAAATTCGCTATTTATTTACACTACATCAAATATATGAATTTGTTTGTTTTTTATTTCAAACTTAAATCTATACATGTAGAGTTATTCGTGAACTCGGTTCGGTTCCGCTAGACTCGGTTAAAGCTCGTTTGCAAACGTTAACGAGTCGAGCTGAACAACATAAACAGGTTCGTTGTGTTAATAAACGAATTCAAACTTTGTTCTCAAATATTCATTAAAATAATACTCCCTCCGTCCCGGTGCAAGGTTATCATTTACTTTTTGCACATAATTTTTTTAATATTAGTATTATAATGAGTTGTAGTGAAAAAGAAAAAAATACCCCTATTAGTATTATGTAATATAAAAGTAATGACATTTGTGTAATATAGTGTAAGTTGAAAGGGTATTTATTATGTTAGGTATGTAGTACAATTACTAAATTATGAAATGGTAAACTTGTTTTGGAACAGACGAAAATAAAAAATAACAACCTTTCAATGGGACAGAGGAAGTATATTTATTATATTATATATACATATAAAATTATAATTTATAAATAAATAAAATATCAATTTAAAATAAATAAATAAAATAATTTCAAATTTCCACATTAATTTATATATGAATTAAAAAGATAAGACAAACGAATTTAATCGAACCTAATACAAACACAAACTCAAATAATAAAAATTTTAACGAGTTTAGCTCGAACACTATGAATAAGCTCAAAAACTTAAAGAACTAAAATGAACATTTAAACTTTTGTTCAACTTGACTCGCTACAACAACAATATACTCCCTCCGTCCCATAACAAAGTATCCATTTTTTCATTTTAGTCCGTCTCATAACAAAGTATCCATTTTCTTTTTTAGTAACTGTACTATCTACCTAACATTACAAATACCCTTACAACTTACGATATATTACACAAATGTCATTACCTTTGTATCACACATACTAACAAAGTTATTTTAGTCATTTCTATTTTATTTCCACTATATTTCAATATAATACTAATATTTCTAAAACTATGTACAAAAAGTAAATGAATACTTCTTTTTGAGACGAAGGGGAGTATTATTTTATCTCAATACTGTCAAATCAAATCAAAACCTACTCCTTACAATCCGTGGGGAATTAAACTCACATCGTCCCAAATGCAAATAACTTAGTTTTAATTTTGCTTATTATTTCATTAGTTAATATATAATATATTTTATACTCCCTCTATTCAGTTAGAAAGTATACATATTTCTATTTTGGGACGTCCAATTACAAAGTAAACATTTTATTAAATAACTTATTTTTTTACAAATACACTTACTTTACATCACATCATTACTTTTACACTAAAAAACAAGGGCAAAAATGTCATTATACCACTTTTAACTACCCACTATAATTAAAATACTATTATTTCTTAAACACCGCGTCAAAAATAATTGTATACTTTATGAGTGGACGGAGGGAGTATTAAATATTAATTTTAATAAATTAGATCGGGTCAATCATAGTTGGATCTTAATGGGCCCAAATACGGCTCGAAAAAATTCGGCTCTATTTTTTAAAACTCAAGCACGATTTTTTTTTGCTGAATCCGAACCGAATTTTTAGACCGTACCTATTTTTACCCGCTGTATTCGTGTTCACCTAACTCCAAAAAAAACATATCTAATCACAATAATATTACAATTAAATACCAATAAAATAAACTAAGGTTGTGGCAAGAATGAATAACTATGAACTAAAACTAAACCATAGTTCAAAAACACATATAACTAATTATTGCAATTAATATTATGATGCTAAATTAATTAGAAAAGCTGCTCCCTAATTTGCAACAATATAAACATATTATCCAGATTAAAATTAGATTAAATTAAATTAAATTAAATTAATATGTAGGTCGGGGTCAGGGTCAGGTCAGGTGCCCTGCTGCCAGCTTACAACACTCAGAAATGCACGTGATAATTAATTTAATAATCCCCAGTAGACCAATCATTATATCAAATCAAATCATTGTCTTTGGGAATTGTATATATATAAATAAATAAATAAATATAAAATATACAATGCTCCCATTTCAATAATGTATAGATATTTTACTCACATTCCCACACACATTGATCAACGCATGCATCACCTCGATATATTTTAGATATTCAATTTTAGATTTAATATATTTATATCTAAATTTGATCCTATTGAGTCTATCGATTCTATTTTGTATTAATGATTAACAAGACAATTTCATTATTTTTTCTCCAAAATTTCTAACACACATCTACCCCTAATAAGCCTAATAAGATATTCAGTATCTTGTCTCGTAAAAAAATGATCTGATAGTGTGGAAATTGACTCGTGACTGTAAAATTATGAAAATCACCTTTTTAACATTCACTTTTTATATAAAATATTTTATATTTATATTCACAACTATTCTACAATAACATCAAAAATCAAAATGCTAACATATTTGGTCTCCTAAAAGATGATCTCATGGTATGGAAATTGACTTATAACCGTAAAATCATGAAAATCACCTGTTAACGTTCATTTTTTTTATATAAAATACTTTATATTTATACTCACAACTATTTCATAATGATAACATCAAAAATAAAAATACTAACATACCCCCCCCCCCCCCAAAAAAAAAAGCCTAAAGAACACATTTGTTTCTTGTGTTTTTCAATATGTTTTACACTATATTCAATATACTGCTTCCGTCCATCAAACTTGTTTTTACTTTTCTTTTTTTATTTATATGTTAAATTTACACTATTACCAATTTTTGTAAAAATAAAAAAATAAAATTAATATTTAACTATTAATCTTTAATCAAGATCGATTTACTATAATACCATTATTACACATCATTATATTATCATACCAAATAAGAGCCATGAAATTAGAACATCTATGTTGTAGGTCATAAAGAAATTAACACAAATGATTGAGGTATATATGTATGTATTGTAGTAGAAAAGCATGTAGCTATAATAAGGGGCAATGGGCAGAAATTGAAATAAGTGTATAAATATAAATGTGTCACACAACAAACATATATGTTTCCCCAATGGGTCCATCATTCATGTGCCTTTCACCCTCCCAACCAATGTCTATCAATAAAATTTAATATGGAAATAAACAAGAACCTTCCCTTAGGGTTTCCTTAATTAAGACATCCCATATTTGGTTCTTGGATTTGATCTATTCTTAAAAGTATCCTTGTTAGATCACTCAATATGATTATGGTGTGTTTGTTTCGGGCTTTGATTTGAATAGTAAAATTTTGAATTTGAAAATTTTTTTTTATGTAATATATATAAGAATTGTTGTAATATTTTTAATGTAAAATTAATTTTTTTAGTTAATATATTAAATAAAGAATAGATATTTAATTTGATAAGTTTGGGAAAAATGATTTGTGAATAGTAAAAATTAAATCATTGTTAGTCAAACAAACACATATTTAGTGTTTCTTGCTTCATATTTCTTCTAATGCATTAAGGATCTTGTACTTACTTTTTAAAAAATATCTAAGCAAAACTTCTATTTCATGGATATATTAATTACAATATATGAATAAATATTTAGGCTCCATTTATATGGACGTTTTGGAGTTTTAAAAATTTTTAAAATAATAAAAATTGGATATTAGATGCCATGCTTAAAGAGAAAAAATAAGATATTTGATGTAAGATTATTTTTAAAAAATCAATGTTGATGAATAGTGCCTAAATTTTATTTTAAAAAAAATAATCATGTAAACATAGCCTTACTAATATAAAGAGATTTGTTGCAATTAATTGAACCTAATTTTGATTACATCAAAAAAAGGCTTTGTACATGTATCTTTGAAATATTCACTAATCATATTACTTAAATCATCTAAATAAGGGTTTATTCTATTGATATTTCAAATCAAAATCAACACTAGCTATAATTTTTAATAAAAATATATTATTTCTTCTCACAAAATATCACGAACAAAATAAATTCAAATCAATACTTCATTTTAAATCAATTTTTTACTATTTAGTCCATACGGTTTTCAATATTAAATAAATAAATTTTCTCACAAACATCCTATCAAAACACTACTTAAACCAAAGATCAAACTCAAATAACGTCATAGTATCTTTTTAATTTAAATATTATTCAATTATGCTTTTACTAAAAATACTCAATGTATGATGGTGATAGCTATATAAACAAGACATTTCTTTTTCAAAACCACAACAATGGCTCCAAATCTAAAAGTACAAGCTCCCAACTAATCCTAAATTTTAAGAATAAACAAACAACTTCTTAAAAATCATAATTGCCCTAATCGTCTAAAAAATTTGTGCAAGTCTATATATTTCATAATACTAATTAGCTCCTACATTTACACACAGAGAGTTCTTTAAATATATTATCTTACCATCTATCCAAAAATCAGTCAAATTTTCAACTAGCTCAAGTATGGAGAAAAGTATTATTTTAAAGAGATTACTAACTTACCCACCAAAAATTTAAATCTAGAGAATAGATATATGTGGGTATTGGTAACAGTGTACCTTGTTACTTGGTGGGATTAATTGGTTCCCACAGGGTGAAGATATATGAACATCGTCTGAGGGGGATGAACCATGAATCCATTGGCTGGCTTTGCCAGTTATGTTTCTGCACAGATGGACGATACATCACATCAAATAAACAGACAAACAAAATTTTAAAAAATAAATTAAAAAACTGTTCTTTCCGGCAACTTATGCAGATCTGGAATTTAATGGGAATGGGGGAGAACCAACCTACCTCCATGCAATTTCAACCATACAATATTGGAGAATTTTGTTACCATTCCTCCCAATATGGTTCTTGATTTGGAGCTATGGACAAAGCCCAGATGAAAAAGAACAAATGATCAGATCACATCAGATGCAAGAATGAAGAATCTACAGATTGGTTTAGGTAATAAAACAAAGTGGCATAATGTCTGAATGCATAATTTTAGATTCTAACTTGAGGTTGTCTGTTTTCTAATCTTTGCCTAGTGTTTGTATTCTGGCATTTAGACAGATTCTTTTCCAGGAAATTAAATACAGTTTGTGTAGTGTGACTTTGTCAATCTACTAGAATGTTAAGAGGCAGGGTGTATGTACGGCCAGTACTTTACTTCCCTGTACTGATCAACCAACTTGATAACTTGCAATGTTAAAAAAGACATTCTTAAAAATGACAAGAAAGTGACTAAAGGTTTAAGAAAAGTGAACTGCACTAAAAGCCCACAATAGAATCACTATATAGTTGAATAAGATCCTCTAACTATGGTGCATATTTAATTTTATCCCTTTACCACACTAACCCCCAAATCTAGAACCATCACAGCCCCATGATTGCTGTCTTGGTCAAACTCCACATAGAAAAAAAAGGAAAATACTTCACCTGTCCATCAAAGTTAAGGCTTATTTTTTATTTAAGTATGTCCGTCAAATTTATATTTTTGTTCTTACAAATACAAAATAAATGAATATTTTTGAAAAAATTAAAAGGATGAATTTATTTTACTATAATAATAAATAAAAAATACTTTTGAATCGAAATGACAGAAATGATAAAAAGAATATATTAAGTTAGAACGGGTGGATTACCTGCTAATATAATATAAATACAACATATGTTTAATAGTCTACACAATAGATGCTACGATTGATCTCAACATAAAATGTATGTTAACACAACGTACATATAAATATGAACCAACAATACATGGTAACAATATATATAGCACATTATGCATTAATTAAGTCATGTACTATCAGCACATCCCTAATCAGCATCCTAACCGCTCTCACTTAAATATTAACCTTATTTTAAGACGTAATAATAATTTTATCACTATCATTACATCACACATACAATATTAATTAAACTCATTCCTTAGTGAATTTTCTGAAATAATCTCATATAACTTTTACTTTTCTATTAAAATATTATTTTTTCTAGCTCTGTATCATACAAGCATTATTTTGGTGGAGTATATGTTAGCTTTCTATTATAGTAACTAAAAAAAATGGTGAGAGTTATAGTGGATAATGCACTTTGTCCTAGAAGCCTATCTCCCCCATTCCTCATGCATATCTTATCTATTTTTCTCCACAAACTAGTGTGGGGCACCAGACTTTGAAAACTTCACAAGATTGGAGAGAGAGAGAGAGAAAGATGATTTTGTGTAGGAGAGATATTAATCTAAAATGTGCAGTGTGTTCGTACAGTGTCGTATGGAGTTGAAATACCAAATGAAGATGAGAAAGGTACAGCAGAGCAACCTGGGCTAAAATAAGTGCACATTATTTCAAATCACTATCATCCTTTCTATCTTTTAATTCTTACATAGTCAGAATTGCTTATTATAAATCATTTTGGAAAATGTGCACAATTTTCTTTCGTAATTTAGAAATTGTACGAGACTCCCTCTTGTTTTAGAAAGCATTAGTTTTCAAAAAATTGCACAGAATTTTCTAAACAATGAATTTTATGCAAAATTTTTTAAAATACAAGAGAGAGTGTTTATATTATTTCTAAATCATGAGAGAGAATGGCGCATAAATTCGAGTAGATTAGAAGTAATTTTGTCCTCTTAGATATGTAACTATTGATGCCAATCATTTAATGCTCCTAAAGATTGCCTTCTTTCACTCTTATATATATATATATATATAAAGCTTTCCCTGAAATTTAAAGCATCCTCATCATCTACATCAATCCTCTATCAGTCTACAATTCTTTTCTTCCGTACCGTTGTCTTCTTAATTGTGCAGCACACACGCATATATAGATACACATATACAGATAGATACAGATATATAGACGTAAACTAAGAGGGCATAGATGAATTCTGCAGGAGGAAGGAAACTTAAAGCGTGTATGAAAAAATGGAGAAGATTCATCATACCTTGTGCTACCTGCGCCGTGTGCTGTAAATGGTCGCTGTGGCCGTTGTCATCTAAGCACGAGGAGAAGATTGTCCCGAGCGATGTCCCAAAGGGTCACTTGGTAGTATATGTTGGAGAGTGTCGGAAGAGGTTCGTGATCAAAGTAAGCTTGCTGAAGCACCCGCTCTTCCAGGCACTGCTTGATCAAGCTCGGGATGTCTATGACTTCAATGCCAATACAAGACTCTGTATCCCCTGCGACGAGAACATCTTCCTCAGTGTCGTACAGTGCGCCAAATCCCCACCTGATCGCCGGCTAGCCGTCTGCCTATGACATCTCAGCCTTAGCCATGACTAAACAGGATTGAAGAAATTTGTCGAATTGACACAGTATTTCACCTGGTGATGAAGCCACTCGAAGATTCAAAGCTGTCGGGTGAACTTGATTCTTTGATCCTGTCCATTGCCCCATAGCCAAGAAACTTCAGGCCATGATCGTGCATATTCCAATGGAGGGTATCGGGATGTTGACACTGTTCCCCTGTTTTTCAGATTTGTTGAAGTGAATTGAACAGTGGTTGAGTTGTAAGTACCTACAGCTTAATTCTTGTTAGAAAGCAAAGGAGTAGAAACTGATCAATTCTTGAATCGAAAATGTAATATCCAAAAACTACATTTCCCTCTACCACGGTGCAGCCTGAAGTTATCAATTTTGAAACTTTGGTTTTCGATCATCACACTACTTGGGAAACCACGAACCATTTAGAAAATAACTAGGTTCATGTGTAAAAAGTCACATTCGACAACCCACAAATTAGAAGTTACCTAGCATAGTTTTCTGGCTATTACGTTCTATAAGAATTTATTCCGTAAAAGAATGTTCTTAGAAAGTGCAGAGAATTTTAAGAAGTAATCAAGAAAAGGAACTACATACATAGATCGAAATATAATTGCAATAGCTAAGTAATGGTGTGCAATATCGGTCAACTACAAATCCCCCGGTTACTCGATCTAATCCTCTATAAAAAATAGAAAGATTCTGCATATTTTGAGCGATACAAGTCGAAAAAAAGCATGAATGTAATAACAGAACACACGGCCCCTAAAATACATATGAACGAAGAAGTCAAGTTGGATGAACATACTCATTCAGCATCTCCAAGAAACCACATTTTTTCACTACCATTTAAGCATCATGATAGAGTTATGAACGAATTCAGCTTCGACAAACCAATCTCAACTTCAAACTGCTGTCGCTGCTGCATTTTGAAGATAAAAAATACGTCGATACCTGGTGCATATATATTTTTAAAAAATACAAAACATGTAGAAAAATAAACACGTTTCAGCCTGCACGCCGTAAGTTAATCCGACCTGTCATTAATGGCGCCCGAGTTTAGAATAGGGGGAAGTTAAAATCAAGCTATCCTCCTAAGTATACTAACAAATGATAATCATATTCAGAGGATCACAAAGCAACTCTGAATCATCAAGGCAATATGAACATGGAAAATGTGTGTTTTGTTTGCATTTCAAACCAAAAATACAGCTGTTCTGTTTTCTTGATCAGCTTCAACAATGTCTACAAAATGGCTAAGGACAGAATGCCATTGATCTTGATCATAATTAAGGGAAGCATCACAGAATCATGAACTGAGTTACTGAATTCTGGCAGAAATTAAGGCATTGATATTTGCATCTAAATTCAGAGCAAGATAACATCATCACTACTGAGAATTCATGGAATTCACCTGTAATGGAGGCGTCGGAGAATTCACCAAGGAGACGAGAGAATTTTCGCGGCGGCGCCGTGGGGCCGAGTGTCGGAGGATCACGGCGGCTCGTGGCGGCGGCGGCGGCGGCTAATTAGGGTTTGGAAAGGCTACCATTGCTTGAGATTGAGGTCATCGTCGTCATCAGGCTGTCTATCTATGGCGGAAGATTTCGGCAACTGTTGGCTGCAAAACTGACATCATTAATATATATTCTAATTTCTTTTCGATTTATTTTCTCATTTCTCTCTGCACTTCTATATATTATCGCGCAGAAACCCTAGGGACTGTCAATTGCGACTACGGAGCAAAATTGAGCGGCGAATTGAGGATTCCGATGGGGAGAACGACGAGGCGGAAGGTACTGATAGCGCTAGGGATCGTTATGCTCATGGGAATCGCTCTTCACTTCCGGATATGGACGATTGATTATCGCCTCTCTGCTAACGACGCCGAGCTACTGCGGTTCGCTTTACATTTTCTCAAATTCCTCCATTTTTCCTCTCTCCGTGAGCTCGACTCCATTGAAATTTCTTCGGGAACTCAATTTGTTGTTGCTGGTTGCAGGAGAGAATTCGATCTGGCTAACAGAGAAGCCATGGACGAATCTGCGGAGTGGAGAAGGAGATACGATTCGGAGGCGGATAAGTCAGCGGAGTGCTTGAGGAAACTTGAGGAAGTAAGTGCCCTAATCTTCAGCAACTAACAAATCAAAATCCATGGCAGCTTCTCTGAAGTAATTAAATGCGATTCAAACTTCTGCATTTTGAATTCTAAGCTTTGTTCAAGTTCTGCCATGGCTGACTTCCTTGGACTTACAGTAGCTTCATCACTTAGGTTATATGATGTTCAATAGCTTTTGCTGAAAAGAAATGAATACTGACAGTAGATTTAGAGACTAGAGTGTTCTTAACAATGGTGATTGAATACCTCCTTGCCAAAATATGCTGATTGCTCTGCATTTTCCGATGAGCAATCAAAAAATTTGTCGATTCTCCGGCTTCTTTGGCAATCTTCTTCGCATTCTGCTGATTGCTCTGCATTTTCCAACAAGCAATCGAAATAACTAGTCGATTGTCCGGCTTCTTTGGCAATCTTCTTCGCATTCTGCTGATTGCTCTGCATTTTACGATGAACATTGGAATATGCCATGGGGCAGCAAGAGCTTTGATCTATGTCGTTTGATATGGAATTTCCGGGGCAGCTATTTTTGTTTAGATGGATTGTGTTGTTTGAGTTTCTCAAACTTCTTGTAATGTCTTCATCGATTTCTTGATTTCATTCATGTAGATTGAGAAGTTTCCTCGCGGGGCAGCGTTGGTTTCTACGGATCTGAACAAGAAGATCAAGATGCTGCAGAAGGTTCGGTTTCGGTTCCTTTAGTAAAACTTTTCGCTTCACTTCAAATTCTTGTTCGCTTCTTTTGCTGTTTCGAATTTGGAGTTCGGGAGATTCCTCTAAATTGTGAGATGCTCGGCATTCGGTAACAGGAGAACATGGATTTGCTCGAAAGGGTCGAGTCTCTGAAGCAAGAACTCGAATCGGAGAAACTGAAATGCAGCAAGGTGAATATGTAGATGGTTGTTAAAGATCATATACTCTTGCAAGGTTTCTCTTTGGTTTCTTTGTTGCTAAATCACAAATGTGGATCAAAACATTTACTTGTACATTCATACCCTTTTCTTACAAGAATGTGTCTTAGGTAAAGATCTTACACAAATGCCCGTAAAATAGTAGTCTAGGGGTACAAATTCCATGTTGATCCGGAAAAATCAGCATATAAAATACATATATAATATAGATAAAATAGTATTTACTATACATATTCTAACACATATAATACATATATAATATATGTTTATAACATATGCTGATACGCCATGCCATGTTGATTTGACTATATCAACATGAGTGGTCGAGTTAGTCTCGGTAAAGATCTTACACATTAGGAAATAGTAGTCAAGTTGGTGTGGTAAGATGATTGATGAGCATTTAATTCTAAAAAGGCCATTTGGGATTGTCCAAAAGTAAAATTTGTACAGATTTAACCCAAAACGACCAATGTCATACTAATATGAAATTAGATCAGTCCATAACAAAACTTAGTACCAAAATTTCTACTTTTGAGAAATGTGATATGTTCCAATACATAACCACAAAAGCTACCTACTTGGACGAACATCGCCAATGAAGATAGTTTTCCATAATCTGTCGATGAAGTGACAGAATGCCTTAACAACAGAATTCGGCGCGTGGAATTTAGACAACTTGGAGAAAGATAAAAGGAACCCCAGAAAGTACAAGAAACGAAATCTAGTTGATAATATATTGATCACAGACGAATGCATTTTGCGCTACCGGGAAGCTAGAGTCCAAAAATTCAGCAAAAAGGACGGCAATACGGCGAACCAGCTCAGAAAAGCCATGGCCGTAGACGACATGAATCTAGAGCAGTGGTTCATGTTGCATTTATTGAGATCGTTTCCAATGAGGACGGTAATACCAGCAGAGGCACAAGCAGCAGCAAATGTTAAAGTCGAAGTAACCTGCAGGTGATGCTATGTCAAGGAATGGAAGAGCAACAAATGCAAATCTACAAATCGGAACTTACAAAAGAATTAATAAATGAATCCTCATATCGAAAAATGTACATATATATATCAATCATGCAACAGTAACCACAATTTTGTAATTGTTGCCAAGAACATTTAAGAACAATGTCGGTTATGGTACTGATAGCACATAAAATATAAATTGACAACACAAAATACATGTTAATATAATAAAATTGCAACATATAAACTGACAATACATGACAATAATCCACACAGTGCATTATGATTAATCTTAGCACAAAGGTATGTCAACACATAACAATCTACAAAACACATGTTGTATGATGCCAGTTTATATTTTTTGTGTTATCGGCTCGGCACTAATTAATCTCTAATCAGCATTCAAACCATTTAAAATATATAAAACATTACAAATGGAGAAACAAACAGACAAGATTATTTGGGATGTTAAAATCCTATAACTTAGTATTAGTTTCCAACAATAAATTAAAAAAACATTGCATACAAATGATAAACAAACATAATGTATAGAACATTGCAAAAAAAGACATCCATCTTTCATTTTTCTCAATAAAAAGAGAACACATAATAATAATATAATAATAATTAATAACTTCCGGCTCTCCTAATAATTATGAAATAATAAAAAAAGCATATAATTATAGTGATTCATATCCGATTCATCTATGAAGTTATAGAACTACTAAAATTGTGAATATAGAAAACAGAAAACAAATTAGAAGTACTATGATCCGGAAAATAGAAAAAACAAATAAATTTAGAAATAAAACAAGAAAATTGTTCTTACTCCATCACCAACAGCAAACAAACTGACAGCACCACTATTTCGGAACCTTCGTTTTACTAGAAGTGCATACACATCTGCAAGAGCCAACAACATGCTCCATAAACTTTGTAAACCGACGGCAGCAACAAGGTACCTAATTGTCAATACAGAAGAAATTGTCACAAACTACGTAAAATCTTCATGTACTTTTCTTTCTCGGTGAATGGCACATAATTGCATAATATGGCTATGCAAGTGACGTAGCTCAAGAGAAACTTAGCATATTTTAAACTCATAAATCGGCAAGAGAAAAAATAAAAACAATTATGTAAAAAATTATACACAGAGAAAATTGCATTTTCCAAAATCATTTAAAAATCATATAGATGTTCCTTTGAAAAACAGTCAACTTTTAATAATAAAAATAAAAACCACCGCCAACTTAGGCTTTGTTTTTTTGTGATTTCAAACTAAAATCAACATTGTTCACCCTCCATAATTCCAATAAGAGTAATTTATCTTTCACAACATCACATCAAAATACTATTTAAACAAAAAAATTCAAATCAATAACCTATCTAAACTCAATTTCGAACGACAACCTTAAATACAACACTGCTTTCTGATTATTTATTTATTTTTAATGAATATATTTGAATTCCCCTGTTGAGATTGTGTATTCAAGAACTGCTGTTCAGCCAAAACAATTTTCAATAAAACACTATATATATTTTGTCATTCTCATCCATTCAAATACAAATATGGGTGTGTTTGGTTTGCATTTCAAACTAAAATCACCATTAGCACATATCGCAATAAAAATACAGTATCCATTCTAACAAAAAAAATTGCATCAAAATACTATTTAAAACAAATGTAAAATCGAAACCCCATTTTGAAATCAAAACAACAAACCCATAATATTTCAAATTTTGGTGTGTTCTCTTGTATAAACTTCACCCAATTTTTATTGTTCATCAAATTTTTTCCAACAAAAAAATCAAATAAAACCCCTAATATTCATTTTATAAAATTACACTAAAAATCAATTTTACATTTCAAATATCAATAACACCTATATATATCACATCATACAATTATTTCAATTTAAAATTTTTATTATTCAAAATCTCAAACCAAAATCCAAATCACCAAACAAACACACTAGTAAATTTTACCATTATAAATACTTTTAAACTTACACATATTTACATCAATAATATTGAATCAAATTAAAAATTAAAATAAAATGGCAAAAATATCTTTACACACAAAAATACCACCATCTATATTTCTTAATCTCTGCTCAAAAACACAAATCTATATCTATTGCCAAGAGGGGTGGAGTCCTATTCAGTCTTTAATTGTCACTAAAATATTAAATCAAATTAATATTCAAAACAAAAATCAAATAACAAAAATAAAACTTAAACCAAAACCAAACAAACTTTCTAACACTGCTTCAAATGTTAATTATGAAATTGGAATATAGATGCAAAAAGAAAAGGCACATTTATAACAGAATATTACTAAATATTTCAAAATTAAGAAACCCTAACCCCAATTCTAAACTAACATTAGATAAAATCAAACAGCAGAATATAATGTATTTACCTAAATGCTGTGACGGAAGGGAAATCTGAGGTTGTGGCCATAACACAAAGGGAAACAACTGCAAAAACAACTTGACATAATCTGAGGCAGAGTGCGCCGACGGTTCCGGCCATTCCAGGAACATCCTTCATTCTTACCGTCGGCGGCGCCGCCTCGGTGGTCTGCGGCGGAACCTCCACCGGATGCACCGCCGGACCGCTCATTTGGAATTTTTTTTTTTCTCTTAAAATAAATTCATCCAAACAATGCTATGACTCAGCACAGTTCAGAGACTGCTTTCAGCTAATGCCGTGAGAACAAATTCGACTCGAATTTTAAAGAATTTTGTTGCTGAGAGTAAAGTTTTTTTTAGACAAACTGACGTGGAGGCAACGCCATTGTTGCAGAGGGTTTCCCCTTTTATTTGCCCACTGTTTAGTTCTTGCAATGAAAAGCGTGTTTGGGTTTTGACGATTTTAGAAATTAATAGAATAAAAAGAAACGCGATTTTTATTTTTATTGATGCCAATCTATTGGGCCAAATTATATAAACTTTTTAAGGACTTGTTGGTTTTAATTTTAAGAAATCATTGTTATTGTCGTTGGGCCAAATTATATACACTTTTTAAGGACTTGTAGCCCAATTTGATTTAAATATATATATATATATATATATTTGTGGATTTGTTATGTATATTTGAAATTTTTCTTTAAATAACATTTGATTTAATATTCCCCCATCCCAAACAAGGTGCTACATTTAAGTTGGGCACGATTTATGTGGAGAGTATTAAGTAGAATAATTTAGAAATTAGGAGATAGTGATGAAAATAGAAGTGTATATTTTATTATTTTATTAGGATGATGTGATTGGATAAAGTGTGAGATATAAATTAAGTATAATTAATTATTTCCTAAAAATATTGCAAGTTATTTGGAATATAGCAAAAAGGAAATGTTATTGGGTGTTTGGGACGGATGGAGTATTTTATAAAAAAAGGTTACTTCCTCCGTCCACTTAATAAGTTTAATTTACCTTTTGCGTCATTGTATTAACATTAAAAATATCTTTAGTATAAATTTTTATACAAATGTCATTATATTTGTATTATAAAATACTAGTATTTTTGTCATTTTTCATTTATTTGTACTACCTTTAGAAATTCATAGAACTTCATCAGCATATCCGTACCGACAACCAATTGAATCAAAAGTACCCAAGGAAATAAGATTTTTCTTCAACTCCGGAACATGTCGAATATTAGTCAATGTTATTTCAACCACCTTATAGAATGCATCATTCTCCATCAATACAACTCCACATTCACCTGATCTAGTACAAAGAAAACCAATCTCTATAAGGACACATATGATCAATATGAATTATGTACCCAACTGTCACAAAGTGATCCGTTTTATACTGCAAAATCTTTTACATTATCCAGATTCTCATCGGCAAATCTAACAAAACCATTAGTATTTGAGGAGTTAGTAATATTCTTCTCAAAAGACTTTTCAGTAATATTCTTCTTTGCAGTAATGACATTAATTCTTCTTGAGTCATTCTTCAAATGTTTTTCACTTCGACCAACCAAACCATCAACTTGATCATCAGTAAGATTTTTGAGATACATTTTGCTTCATCTTTTTTTAATTAAACTATATTTTTATATTCTCCAAAAAATTAGTGTCACGAACATATAATATTGTATCAAAAAAGTGTTCAAACAAATTAGATAAAAACTTAACCAAATCAATGTCTGATTTTCATCATCAATGTTGACATTTTCAAGAACATAACAATCTTTTCGAAACCGTAAAGATGATTTATAATAGAAGTATGTTCCTTCGTACGAAAAGTGTAGAGTTGTTGCTTCAAATAAAGTTGTATAGTAAACGAATTTGTCATATATAATGCTTCTAATGTTGGAAAATTTTTATACCACGAGAATATCAAATAATTATCGAAATATAAAATTCGATATCAAAATAATTTATCAGAATTAATTCAATAATCAATCGAAATAAATTCGATAATCACGACAATCTTATTGAAATAAATTCAATAATCAATAATAATTTATCGAAATAAATTCGATAATCAAAATATCGAAATCAATTTATCAAAATAATTTTGATATTCACAACAATTTTTATCGAAATAAATTCAACAATTTTTTATCGAAATAAATTCAACAATTTTTTTTATCGAAATAAATTTGATAATCAATTTATCAAAATAATTTTGAAAATCAAAACAATTTTATCGAAATAAATTCGATAATCAATTTATCAAAATAATTTTTATAATCACAATAATTTTATCGAATTTAATAATTTTATCGAAATAAATTCGATAATTAATTTATCAAAATAAATTTGATAATCACAGTAATTTTATCGAAATAAATTCGGTAATCAATTTATCAAAATAAATTTGATAATCACAATAACTTTATCGAAATAAATTCGATAATCACGTCGAGTCGAGGTGGAACCTCTTTCCCTAAAAAAACGAATATGCCCCGGTAGTGCCTCCGATTCGTGGCGTAACGTTCCCAAAGCTAAAACGACGTTCGTCTCCGAATTAGGTGACACCCCAATATTTCGGAGCTCCGGCGAACTAAAATAAAGAGACTTAAGCTATGTCGAGAAGTTAGGCAAGTATAGATTCCGGAGCTTCCCGGAAAACTCGCCGGAAATTGAATGAGGTGGAGAGGATTAGAGAGGAAGAACTCCTCTTGGTGTGGTGTTGGAATGGTGAAAGAGCCTTATATATGCACTCCAACCTTAGGAGTGTTTAATTCCGAGTCGAAACCGTCGATGTGTAATGGCCGGTAACCGCCAGTCATAAACACCAACTTTAATTCCGGTCATAAACACCAATTTAATTCTGGTCATAAACACCAAATTTAATTTCGGTCATAAATATATTTATTTGAATTTCAAATAATTATTTATCATATATGCATGTAATTATCTGGTCCGGACAGGTGGCACGTGCGCTTGTGGCTTACGGCATTTATATAACTAACCATACTATCAATAACTACCATACAACTCACATGCATTTTAACTCACCGAATAATGGGTTCCGAAAATTATAAATTTAATTTAAAATTAAATTTCATCGATTAAATAATTAATCAATTTTTCAACATCTAATTTGGTCCACAAATATGCTAACGATGTCTCATTTGCGTTAGCACGTCAAAACATTATCACTCAAACACAAATGAAAAACACAGGGGTGTGTTTGTGTGGGGGATTTGATTGGATTTATACTATTCATCCAATTTTTCCCCCAAAAAAATCAAATCAAACACATATTTTTCATTTTTTATATTATAATAAAATTCAATCTTACATTCAAAACATCACATCAACACCTATTTATATTACATCATACAACTATTCAAATTCAAAATTTTTACTATTCAAATCCCAATTCAAAATCCAAACCCCAAGCAAACACACCCTAAAATAGATTGTTAGCTAGTTAGGTTAAAAGACAAATTTTAGAACTATAATTCAAACCAGTTCGATATGCACCCAAGCGTGCGTATACATATTGAGGTTATTACAAAACCTAAAAATTCGTTCAGTTTCAATTAAAATTATTCTCGTTCAAATACCTACAGAACAAGAAACACGCTGGATTATCTGATATTTAAAATAAATTAAATTTGTTATTTTAAACAAAATAAATAAATAAACAAACTCTAATAATATCGAGTAAAACATAAGTATAGTAGAAAGGCCGATTTTTACGCAGTCCGCTAAGTTTAGTAGACACATGACCAACAAGGCAGTGCCACGTGAAAGTGCCTTTCGATTTTTATAAGATAAATTTGAAGTGGAAAGAAGCATTTAACCGTATTTTTTAAAATCAATAGTTAGCAATACAACTTATTTATTTTTTATAAAGGTAAAAGTTTCCATTTTTTTAAAAAAAAATATATATATATATATTTTGATCTATAAGACTAATAAAATTTTGATATGGACAAATAACATGGACAAATTTGAATGAATGAAGTAATACACATGATAAATACCAGGCAAACATGAATTCATATTAAAAATTTTGTAATTTTTTATTCTCTTTTATTTTTTTTTACTTTTGTTCCTTTTTATTTTATATATATAATTTATATTTTTTTAAAAAAATTATTATACACGATTTATTGATTTTATATAGTTATAATATTATATATTTTATTTTATGTTTAGGTGTACAGGATAATTATTTTTTTTATTATAATATATTTTATTGTATCAAAATACTTTAAACTTATGAGAATATATATACATATATATAATATTTATGTAATTTTTACACTTTTTTATTTGATATAATAATTTTTCATTAAAAATCATATTACTTATTTATTTCAATTTGATATATTTTTCTTTTTAACTCAACTAGTGAAAAAAATTAATAGTAACTGATTTTATATAATTATAGCAATATTTTTTTTATTATTAGACAATTTCTATTTTCTATTTTTATTTATATAAAATTAATTTTTCATTAAAAAAAAAGCAGTTTATTTATTTATTTTAATTAGACATATATATATATATTGTTTCAACTTATGTAAAACAATTAATAATATTTTGTATGACGTGGAATTCTAATATCCTGCAAACCAGGTTCGACGAGAAAGTCACACTAGGCGATCCATATATGACAGATCTCATAGTCACAAGTTCAACTTCTACACCACCTGGTCATTCCTTACGGGACAATAATATTTTTTTATTTTAAATGTATGAGAAGAAATATATGCACACTTAGGTTATTTTTAAATACTTTATATTTGATTTAATTTTTTTTCATAAAAAATAACAATTAATTTATCTAATTCAATCGGACATTTTTTTTCCTTTCTATTTCAAGTGATGTGAAAAAAATAAAAATTTAGTAACTACACATGATTTTATACAATTATAATATTTTTATTGTTATTATTAGAAAAAATTTATTTATTAGTTTTATGTATAAAGATAATTTAAACATGTGAAAAAATATATATATTATATTTAGGTAAATTTTACACAATTTTTAAAATTAATTTACTAATTTTTTATAATTTTTTTTATTAGATTCACTACTAGAAAATAAAAAGTTAATAGATGCAGAAATTTATCGCAAATTTTAATTGGCGACAATTAAAAGTCACGGAGAACAATTTCGTAACAAATTTATGCCACAACCTCTTGCTTTGACTATTTCGAGGGTAGTATTTGTAGAAAAAGTTACAATTAACTTTCCGTCACTATTTAAAGTAGCGACTACAAAAATATCCAAAATATTTTTATTACGTATCTTTTGACTATTTCGTCACAAGTATTGTCATGAAATTTTTTCGTGACTAATTTAAGTTGCGGCATTAATAA